GAGGGGGGGGGGGGTTGCAGGCGAGGTTAGTGAGTCAGTTGATGGATCGTACTCTAGGAGTCTAGAGGTTGTCTTAGCTTCGTCCCCTGTCCCTCGGCTCACACACTGGAATGGTCGCCACCGTCGATTGCTCAAAAACAAGTCTAGAGAGCAGTGTGCTTACGTGATGTTCTTCAACCTGGCCTGCTTACGTGATGTTCTTCAACCTGGCCTGTGCAGTTGCGCTACTCAGCAGCGCGTCCGCCACTCTTGCCGCCCAAATGTAGAAGGGGGGGATCCTTGTGGAAGTACATGTACGTACATGCTTCGCGGTCAACAATGCTAAAACCGGGCAAACGAAATGAGCACAGGGCAACGAATCCTCCCCTACCCGCAAACGCCTCTCCAACGCTTTCAACGCCCGGCCTGTTCTTCCTCCCTCCTCACCTTGCGCTTCAGCTCCGGGTCGAGCGGGGCCACGTGCACCGGTGGCCGGTAGTCTCGCAAAAGCTCCTCCTGCTTCGACACCAATCTTTCCAGCCTGGCCAACTGGAGGAGCAGGACAAAATAAGTAAACGACAGAGCTCAACTCTTGGCACTCAGGATGAGCGAGATTTCTGTACCGCATCTTGGAAGCAAGAAAGCCTTTGACGTTGAACAGGCGCAGAGGAGTATCTATCTTTGAAGCAATGCCGACGTACAGCAGTAGGGCTGGCGTGTCGCGCGGTGATGACGACGACAGGCACGAGTAGACGGTGCGGCGAATTTCGTACACATCTATCTGGACTGCCCCTGGTGCTGTGCAACCCCGTTTTGTAGGTGCATTGCATCGAAGCTGCCTATCGAGTATCGGTGTCCGTACGTCCATCTGTGACAACCGAATTGTCATCTACTATATACCAAACGTGCCTGTCGACTTTGTCGGTGTCTACGACTACCCGTCTTCCTGTGAGTGCTGCTGTGCGATTTTTCTTTGGTGAGGTTGGATCAGCAGAGCAGAACGCGGTACCTCGAGGCGTCGTTTGTTGGCGTGCTTCTTCGGGCGGCTCTCGTACCCGCCGGACCTGTCCACCGTCAGCGGCTTTTTCCCCAGCTTCCGCCTCTTGTTGGCTCTCTTTTCCGCACGTTCCGCCTCCCGCTTTCGCAGCCTCTCGCCCCTGCACATGCAAAGGGTGTTGTTGGCAGCAGTGTCAAAATACCAAGTCAAATGAAAGGCACGAGCGCTGCGACGATAGCTTAGTCGAGAACAGCAATGGTGGAGCAAGTTCATCTTGGCGTGTGCGTTTGTCACCGCGTAAGCTCGCTCCATCCAAATCTCCCAGTCTTCCGACACGTACACACACCTGCATTGCATGCCTCCGGCACACCCAACAGAGAAGGAGATATCCTACGACGCTCATACCTCTCCATCGAGTGTTTGAGCCGGCCAGCATCAATGGACCTTCGCTGCTGCAAGGAAACGTATCTCTCTAAACTCCTCTTGGGGGATCGTCAGTCGATGTACATACAAATACAACGGTTTTGTGTCTGCCTTCGGGCTCTTTGGCTTCAGCACTTTTCAGTAAAACTGGGCGACCAGGCACGAGCGCACGGGCAGCACCCGTATCCCTCTTCGCCGTAAATGCACACAACAGCAGGACCGCACTCGTGCACAAAGAATATACCCAGAAGCAAGCCCACCAGTCTTACCACGAGACAGCAGCAAACCTACGTACATACCATTTCGACCACGACCAAATACGTGCCTGCTGTGCGACAAGCTGCTGTATTACAGAGCAGTGCGGAGTGTCATGCTTATGCGGCCCGGCGCAATCGTCGCTCCAACACCTCCACAACGGTGTCGAACCGAACACCACAACCGGCTGCGTTCTCAAAGCCCGACGTGTCAGCAAGAGCCGCTTCTATTTGTTCTACGGCTGATTCGTGCTGCCTGAGTCGCTAGAGAGGTGCGACTGCGGCGTCTTTGGGGAGACACCTCGGTCCAAACACCAGCACAACATCATGTTGTAGTACCACATCATAGACACAGGCATGCCCCAGCGTACAGGCTCACGTTGTTCGCTCTCTACCTTTACGTTTCTCTCAGCACACACCGACAGGTGCGGGTTGATGCCCTGGGTCCATCGCAGCGAAACTGCTCAGCAGCACAGCAGCACACCACCACCGACAACACGCGCGCCAGGAGCAGCATCGTGCCCGTGAACCATTGATGTAATCTACCCCGCAAACCCCGACAAAAAATGGACGGCAAAACGCTGCTGTCTTGACTTGCCTGCTTCCGTCTGACATTTTCTTCGAGATTCCAGGCCCTCCGCCACGCCCCTTCTTCTTGTTCCGCCCCATGGCTTCGCACGGATTGCGTGTGCAAGCGTGGTAGCAGCGTGATGAATCAACCCGTTGAGGGGTACTGCGCTTTTTTGGCGGAGCCCCCCAACAAACGTGCCGCATCGCCGCATCCCGGTCACGCAACTCACACAGAACTGCACCAGGTGCAGGTGGAGCACACAACCAACATGGGAGCAGGGTTAGCCGCACAGCGCGGATGGCCTCAGGGCCAAGAGAACGACCCCTCATCACCGCAGCGCACGGGAACCTCGTCGTCGTCGGGAGAAGAGCCCCCACAAAGCAGCCATCTGCACAGAAGACGGAGCTCCTTGCTGTTGTTCGAGGAAACCGCGGACAGCGGCGAAGTGCAACCGCTGGAGGACAGCGACTTCGCGCGCAACTACGGCTCTTCTGCAAGCCTGGCCAACCTCGTGCCCCTCGACAGGAAGCGGTGGCCTTCGATCGAGGCAGAGAACGGCAACGCGAGCGTGGGCAGCAGCAGCGCTGGGGATGCGGAGGACGATCACCTTGAGGCACGCGATGGCCGGGACTTGAGCGTTGCATACGATCTGGGCGCCGCCGTGCTGTCAACAGAGGAGGAGGTGCGTCTATGAGTGCACAGCAGCTGCTTAATCCAGAGAAGGAGAGGGGTGGAAAGAGCAGCAGCACGTACGTTTATGGACTGCAGTTCCATGTCATGTGCATGCGTGTATGCGTAGTAGGAACGAAGTTTCCGGAATGTGCTCTTCAAACTTGAAACGATTCCTTTCAGCCCGGGTTGATTCCCCGCAGAGCAATCACAGCGTACAGCAGCAGCAAACAACACAGCAGCCGAAACAGCAGTGTGTGCCGCGACAGAACAGCGGTCTTCGCGTGTTCGTAATCCCAACCCGAAGTGCTACATCAGTGACGGATATCACGGAACATCGGTTCTTGTATCATACACGTGCTGTATGCAGATATGAACACTGGCCGTCTCAGCTCTCGGTCCGCCGGAAATCTGGAGCACCATTCATACACTCCACCAACAGACCAAAACAGGCGGGAGACTAGGTGTAGGTTTTGATGCATGCCGTTGACGAGCGCACAGTAGGCATCGTGCGTGCTGGACATTCAGGTTTGTTACATTAGCAACCTTCCCGCCGTTTCTACGCTGCACCTTGGTACCTTCACCACTAGAGGACACCATGAAGAGCCATCGAGCGTGCTGGTACGCTCAGGTTTGTTTCTTGGGTGGTGATGCAGCAGTACGGGCCCCCGCAGTTGAGAAAAATTCTGATAAATTGGCTCGAATTATTACGAAAAATATGAAAAAAGGGCTAAGAAATACCGCTCACTCTCGGCCACAACGTAAGAAACGTCCCAGTATGAAACATGAAGGTGCGATGCCCGCGATACCCCCAAGACACAAGGCACAAGGGGTAGCTGGAGGAGCGTGCCCAATAAGAAACTTCCCACCGCTACTCCTTCAGTGTTCCCACCTCCTTCGCTAGCTGAACAGTGCATTTTGGTAGGGGGGAGAGAGAGTGGTTATTTCCTACTGCGCCGCACCACTAGCTACACCGATTTTTCTTTCTGGTTAGTTAAGTGACATGATGACCGTTTGTTGTGTTGTAGAAGTATTCTTTAGCCAAATAAGAAAATATACCAAGTGAGATATAGGAGGATTGGGAGGATGCGACGTTCCAAAGGAATAAGAAATGTCTTTTAGGAAAACGGACGACTTCGCCTGGTCCCTGGACCCGAAAGAAGGGGTTGAGGCTCGACCCGAATTTGACGTTTCTTTTCTGCGGGCCCGTACTGTATCGAGGAACGTAGTAGCGGCCCACAGTCCCGCCAATCTCCGCAGATTAGACCGACACCCAGTGTCTTGTTCCCGCTGCTTGTGCTCACCACCAGACCGCAAACCCCTTGTTGGCGGGTCGTCAGAGTAGCTAGTGACATCGGCTACTGCTGTACACCCGCAGTTTAGGAGATTGGGGTTAGCGGCGGCGAGCATAAGCTGTTCAAGTGTCGGTCTAGTTCGAGGAGATTTGCGGAGATGGTATGCGTAGGCCATTACTACGACCCTCGATATCACCGCCACGGAAGCAGACTTGAGCACCCCAACACACCCTCCCCGCTGCTTTAGGGTGTCCTCTAGTGATATCAGTACTGGGGTGCAGTTAGAATGCTAAACTGACCTTATTTGAGCGCCTGCCGGTTTGACTCTCTTGACTTGAATTTAGACAGGTGTGAAATTTTATCTTGATTTCAAAGGGGGCGTGCGGAGGTAGACTCATGATAGATATAATAAGGGCAGCCCCACGGCCGCCCTGCGCGAGAGTCGAAGATTTCTGCTTATCCCGATGCCTTCCGACTTGTCTTGTGGTTCTGTCGTGCATTTTCTGGTGCTCATGCGGTTTCTTTGAAAATCAGTCATCAATAAAAGTTGGGATCACCCCCTTATGATTCCGGGGGTGATAGCTCAATGTCCCCGGGGTCAACGGAGGCGTAGGACACGTCATAAGACGCGCGATTGCAGCAGGGATACTAGCCCGAACATAACGAACTTGATTATCACAACGTGGTCGTGGTTGAAAGTTGCCAGTACTTGCATACAGCGGTCGTTCGCTTGTGAACCTTACCGTGGGTACACTGCTGCAGGGCGAGGTTTTTAGTTACAACAGTGCGTTGCTGCTGATGTTGTTCTTGTTGTCGACTTTGTCGTCTAATGTTCTGGTGTAGTCCCCGCGTTGAAAATCTTGCCGTTATGCTGCTCTGCAGGTGTGCTGCACCATCAATTTGGGGTTCCGTATGATCTAAACGGTACCCCCATCTATATTTACATCTGCGGGACCCTGCTTCTTATTTGTTGTTTTATTAAATAGGGGATCGACATAAGATGGGTGTCTTTCAAGCGGGGACATTAAACTTGTTCATTTGAAACATTCATGCGTCGGGAACACCAACATGTGGCACTCTCGTAGCGCGAGTGCTTTACAGGAACATTTTGGTGCCAATCAGAGCAGAATTCTGAGTTCGCTGCTGTTCATATTCCCTCTCTTTTTGTGGTCCTGTCCCCCTGTGAACTTACAAATCAAAGACCGAAGCTGTGAAGAGTAGTAGTTTAATCATTACAGCTTCAGTGTTTCCATTTTCCTCTTAACAGCAGTAGAGTACTCTACCTCACACCAGTACTGTGTTTCAAGCCCTGTGTGTGGCGAGGCAACCTTCTTTGGACCTGAGACGTCCTGCTGCTGCTGCCGCTGTTTCGCCGATCTTGGGTGGCGGGTGTGTCTGGACAACCCGGGCGATACGTCAGATTCGACACCGCTTCCAGTTCAGGCCCAGCCAGACCCCCAGCCCGAGCGAGTACGTGGCCAAGATGAAGAGAAAGATGGCCAAGAGGCTCGGCAGCCCTCTGGCCGTGCTCAACTTCTTGCTTCCGATCACGAAGCAGCTCAACAACTACACGTCCGAGAAGTTGGCGAGAGACGCTGTCGTGGGGTGCACCATGGCGACCCTTATGATACCACAGGTATGCACCTGCGGTAAGCGTGTTTTTTTCAATATGTTTATACACCGGCTGCGTACTTGTTGACATGAGGGAAAGAAGTTTGCGCGTCGGCTTCGCTGTCGAGTTGAAGGCATGCATCGCGAAGGGTGTGGGTTGTCCCTCTCTGTTGGTGTGGACATGGATACACCATGAGTGCTGTAGTTGCTCCCTCATCAGCGAAGGCAATGGCAAAGAGTCGGGTAGTTTAGATGCAGCAAGCGACAGTAGTGATGGATCATTGAAGAACATTGACATAATGCCTTTTTGCCAAGCTTGGGCAGCCTCTCTCTCCGTCATCATGCCCACCGCCGTTTCACGAACATGTACCAGCTTTTTTTTCAATGTGTCGCACCCGCCTATTTGCGACGGCACTGCAGCGTTCACCCTCCCTCCTGTCGGGCCCTGTACCTCTAAAACTTTGTTTCTTTTGCTCATCTTGTAGTCCAAGTATTCAATCTAGCACTCGTCGAGACTCGTCGGATATCCTTGGCATGGTCTCTATCCATACCTCTGGGTTCATCGAGCTGTGAGGACAACTGCAGTAGTCTTCTTCGCCGCCGCAGTGTTCTTTCCCTGAAAAAGGGGTTTCGATTGTGTATGTATGCCGATCCTGAAACGTGCCACACGCAGGGGCTGGCTTTCGCGACCGTGTCTGGCATCCCCATCCTTTACGGGCTCTACATCGTGTGGGCCCCGCCCTTCTTCTACTCGCTCTTCGGGGTCAGCCTCCACGTCAGCTACGGCCCGTTCGCCCTCGTGGGGCTCTTCATCAGCGACGCGCTGCGCATCCGGGGCTACCAGCCGTGCGACGGCCTGTGCCGCGACCAGCCGGAGGAGACTAAGGTATGTTCTTGTTCCGCGTGCTGTCGTTGGTGTCTAACGCCAGAGAGGATGATCGTTTGTTGTGCATGCTGTTGGTCTCGTTGTTATTGGTTTTTTGTTACAATGGTTGTTGTTGAGACCACCTTTATAAAGGTTGAAACTCCCCAACGTCTGTCGAGGACGATGCCCTCTTTTCCACAATGGCGTCGACGAAGAGATGTCAGCGTGTCTGCTTTTGGTTGCTAAAGACACGGGTTCAAGACCTGCTGCTCACCTAATTTTCTTCCGGAGTACGGAAAAAAGAAAAACGGTGGGTGGGCCAAGAAACGATGCACTGTCTATCGAACTCGAAACTTCTGGCAATGCGTGGCGGAAGTGACGCACCCGCACACACGCACAGAACATGGTTGGAAAAACGGTGGTTCTACTCGCCGCCAGCCGGTCGGGTTCCGGTTACCCCAAGAAGACTGCTCTTGCCTAGCAAACAAGAAGCCTCGAAAAAGGGGGGGGGTAATGTGGAGACCACCTTCATAAAAGGTTGAAACTCCCCAACGTCTGTCGAGGACGAAACCCTCTTTTCCACATTGTGATCGTTTCTTTCTTGTTGCTGATGTCGATCGTTTTTTGTGTGCGGTGGTACGTGGTAGCGCATGCCGTAGGTTGCGTGAGGTATTCCACACCACCTTGGACCGCTTTTCATAGCCCGCCTGCTCTGCAAAAAGGGCAGTGAAGGTTTGGAAAATGACGACGCGGAAAGCGTCTTGTCGAGAGCTTTCCGAAACCGAGTCGTTTGGTTGCGGCGGAGTAGTTGAGCTTTCACAATCGGTCCAGGGGGTGTGCTATCTTACGTCCCCAAAGGTATGCCTTTCGTCTCGTGGAAAGTATGTGCCAAAATTTAGTTCCCTGACTGCACATTGGGTGAAGGCGCTCCTGCTACTGCTGGTGTTGCGACTCCAAGTTGTTGCTGCTACGCTGCTGATGTTGTTGTTGGTGCTGCTATTGCTGCTGCTGCTGCTGCTGCTGCTGCTGCCCTTGTTGTTGCTCTGCTACTACTGCTGCTGTTGTTCGTGCGGAAGGCTTACCTGGAGGCGTGCACGATGATCACCTTCATGGTCAGCATGTGGTACTTCCTCATGGCCATATTCAACCTCGGCGAACCCCTCGCCATGCTAGTGAGTTTCCGGTCACTGCCCGCATACTGAAGTACAGTAAATATTTCCCAGCTCTACACGCCCACGCTGTGCACCCGAGAGCGGCAATATGTCCAAATCTCAACTGTATCCACAAGGGGAGGAGAAGCGTGCATTTTCGAAAGAATACACGTGCGCCGTCTGGGAATGAAAGATATCGTCAGCTGGAGCTTTCGGCTTGTGTTTATCACTATGTGGCGTTTTTGAACAGAGCGTCCTGTCTGTTTTGTTGGGGGTATTAGGCTCTCAGAGTCAGTCCACGGTGTGTGTCCGTCCGTGCGTGCGTTGTATGTGTTGTCCATGCTCATTTTGTGGCCCACACGGTGGTTGGATGCCTTGTACGATCGGTCTTTTAGCTGTTGGATGTAGCGTCGGCACTTGGCGTCTGAAGGAGCACACTGAAGTATTCTCAAAATATGTATTCCCAATGGAAGCGAAACATTCTGAATTATCATCATGACATCATCATGCCCCCTACGGTCGGCGTAAGCGCGCATGTGTGATGGGGACGGTACGGACCGGATCCCTGGATGAATGTCAATGTCGATGTTGATGTTGGCCAACAACGTTTTACAACCATGTTATTGTACAGTTGGCGGATCCCGTCATCAGCGGTTTCGTGACAGCCAGTGCTCTCCTTGTGGCCAACTCCCAGGTGTGTTACACAAACGTATGTAGCAGTTTGCGGTTTATAAATGTGCACGCATTTATGGATTGTGAAATATGATACATGTGTTATCTTTGATTACCGTCGACTGCGCAGCGGCTGAGCATGATAAATAGTTGTCCTTTTTTTTTTTCAGAGGGATAATAATGGTCTGCCCAACCCGAAGATTGTCAGGTATCAAATGATGGAGATACCCAGAGTGCGCCGAGTAAAGATGTGCTCCGAGTAAAGATGCGAGTGTGTTTTTCCTGACATCCAAGTTTCTCCGGTGTGTTCGCGCTTCTTTTCTCTCGCTGGACAACAGCCAACTGAAGCTCGAACAAGCAGCAGCACGTGCATGGCTCAACACCCCCGCCTTTCGCCGTCGTAACGAGACAAGAATAGATATACCACGGTTTGGTGGCTTTTGCATGCATGGTTTATTTTTTCTGACCCCTGTCGTCGTGTTTTCTGTGATGAGCATCGGCCTATGATTGACCGGCTGACGAAGGGCGTGTGTGTGAATGCATGGCCCGTGTGTACGTGTGTGTATGTTGCTTGGCGCGAGCACAGGTCTGCACGTTCTTCCAGATCGCGCCCCCGGTCAAATCAGACATCGTTGGCATCTTCACGCAGGCGAGCAAGAATGTAACTGGGTTGTCTCTCTTGCTTGAATACGTCGCGCATCACCCTCGCCCAACCGATCTCTGCTGTCTGTACTTGGTCTGTTGAGATGTTGTGCTTCTCGTCAGTCTGAAAAGTACTTGATGCGCCTCGCCTTGTCGTGCCTCTTGCCGAGATTCTTGTGCTAAGGCAAAGGGTGGCCGGCTCAATTCTCGTCCACCTGCGCTCCAACACACACGGCGGCATGCACTAGTGTACGATGTGCTTTTTCGAACATGACGGCGGTATGTGAAGCCCCTTCTGGCTGCTTGCGACTTCCCCCCACCACAGCAGCAGCAGTGGTTTGTTTAGACGCACGCCTCTTGGCTGCTGTGTCTGCAACACCTCCGCCCCTACAGGAGCAATATTTTTGTCCACATGCCGCGCCCGGCTCCTCCTTCTTGCCCAACAAGAAAACCACCATCAGGTAGAATGGGGTTGTTGACCCCCTCATCCCGCCCCACCGCCACCGGGCGCCTGATCGCATGCCTCACGGGTGTATCGAAAACGACGAGTAGCTTTGGGAGGTCCGCGATACCATTAACTGGTGGTCGGTGACTATGGGGGTGGGCTCGATGCTGGTTTACTTTGCCCTGCGGCGGGGCAACGCGTACATCAAGAGCAGGGGGGTGGCCGGCTTCTTCGTCCCCGAGGCCCTCACGGTGGTCATCCTCTCCACCTTCGTGTCGTGGGCATGTGAGACGAAAGGATGCAGTAGGGGGGGGACGCGAGCAGAGGAGGAGGGG